GTCTTCATCTTACTCTGAGTTTTATTCTCCTTCTTCATCTTAACACGGGAGGGGGGGGGGGTATTCTCCGTCTAATCTTACAACTTGAGGTTTTATTCTCATTCTTCATCTTACACTTGAGGTTTTATTCTCCTTCTTCATCTTACACTTGAGGTTTTATTCTCCTTCTTCATCTTACACTTGAGGTTTTATTCTCCGTCTTCATACCTTACACTTGAGGTTTTTAATTCTCCTTTCTTCGATCTACACTTGAGGATTTATTCCTCCTTCCTTTCATTCTTACACTGAAGGTTTTATTCTCCTTCTTTCATATACCACTGAGGTTTTATTCTCCGTCTTCATCTACACTTGAGGTTTTATCTCCTTTCTTCTTCTTACACTTGAGGTTTTATTCTACCTCTCACTTATACACTTGAGGTTTTAATTCTCCTTCCTTCATCTTACACTTGAGGTTTATTCTCCTCTTCATTCTAATACACTTGAGGGTTTTATTCTCCTTCTTCATTCTTACAATTGAGGTTTTATTTTCCTCGTCTTCATCTTACACTTGAAGGTTTTATTCTCCGTCTTCATTACACTGAGGTTTTTATTCTCCGTCTTCATCTTACACTTGAGGTTTTATTCTCCTTCTTCATCTTACACTTGAGGTTTTATTCATCCTTCTTATCTTACCACTTGAGGTTTTTTCTCTTCCTTCATCTTACACTTGAGTTTTATTCTCCTTCTTCCATCTTACACTTGAGTTTTACTCCTTCTTCATCTTACACTTGAGGTTTTATTCTCCTTCTTCATCTTACACTTGAGGTTTTATTCTCCTTCTTCATCTTACACTTGAGTGTTTTATTCTCTCTTCTTTCATCATACAACATGAGGTTTTATTCTCCCGTCTTCATCTTACACTGAGGTTTTTATCTCTCTTCTTCAACATACAACTTGAGGTTTTATTCTCCTTCTCCATCTATACACTTGAGGTTTTATTCACCTTCTTCATCTTACAACTTGAGTTTTATTCTCCCGTCTTCATCTACACTTGAGGTTTTATTTCTCCGTCTTCATCTACACTTGAGTTTTATTCTCCGTCTTCATCTTAACACTTGAGGTTTTATTCTCCCTTCTTCATCTTGACACCTTGAGTTTTTATTCTCCGTCTTCATCTTACACTTGAGGTTTTATTCTCCTTCTTCATCTTACACTTGAGGTTTTATTCTCCGTCTTCATCTTACACTTGAGGTTTTATTCTCCTTCTTCATCTTAACACTTGAGGTTATTCTCCTTCTTCATCTTACACTTTAGGTTTTATCTCCTTCATCTTACACTTGAGGTTTTATTCTCCTTCTTCATCTTACACTTGAGGTTTTATTCTCCTTCTTCATCTTACACTTGAGGTTTTATTCTCCTTCTTCATCTTACACTTGAGGTTTTATTCTCCTTCTTCATCTTACACTTGAGGTTTTATTCTCCTTCTTCATCTTACACTTGAGGTTTTATTCCCTCTTCATCATCACTTGAGGTTTATTCTCCGTCTTCATCTGACACTTGAGTTTATTCGTCCTTCTTCATCTATACACTTGAGTTTTTATTCTCCTTCTTCATCTTACACTGAGGTTTTTTATTCTCCGTCTTCATCTTAACACTTGAGGTTTTATTCTCCGTCTTCATCTTACACTATGAGGTTTATATTCTCCGTCTGCATCTTACACCTGAGGTTTTATTCTCCGTCTTCATCTTATACACTTGAGGTTTTATTCCCGTCTTCATCTTTCACTTTGAGGTTTTATTCTCCTTCTTCATCTTACTCTGAGGTTTTATTCTCCGTCTTCATCCTTACACTTGAGATTTTATTCTCCTTTCCCTTCTTCATCTTACACTTAGTTTATTCTCACCTCCTTTCCCAACTTTACACTGAGGTTTTTCTCCGTCTTCATCTATCACTTGAGGTTTTATTCCTCTTTTCATCTACACTTCAGGGTTTATTCTCCGTCTCATCTTACACTGAGGTATTTTTATTCTCCGTCTTCATCTTACAACTTGAGGTTTTATTCTACTTCTTCATGTTTACTCTTGCGGTTTTATTCTCCTCTTCATCTTACACTTGAGGTTTTATTCTCCGTCTTATCCTTAACACTCCAGAGTTTTATTCTCCCGTCCATCATCTACACTTGAGGTTTTAATCATCCGTCTTCATCTTACACTTGAGGTTTTATTCTCCGTCTTCATCTTACACTTGAGGTTTTATTCTCCTTCTTCATCTTACACTTGAGGTTTTATTCTCCGTCTTCATCTTACACATTGAGGTTTTTATTCTCCTTCATCATACACTTGAGGTTTTATTCTCCGTCTTCATCTTACACTTGAGGTTTTATTCTCCTTCATCATCTTACACTTGAGGTTTTATTCTCCTCCTTCATCATACAACTTGAGGTTTTATTCATCCTTCCTTCACTTACACTGAGGTTTAATCTCCGTCTTCCTCGTACAACTGAGTTTTATTCTCCTTCATCTTACACTAGGTTTTATCTCCGTCTTCATCTTACACTTAGTTTTATCCTCCGTTCTCCATCTTTACACTTGGGTTTTATTCTCCATCTTCCTCTTATACTTGAGGTCTTATTCTCCGCTCATCTATACACTTGAGGTTTTATTCTCCTTCTTCATCTTACACTTGAGGTTTTATTCTCCGTCTTCATCTTACACTTGAGGTTTTATTCTCCGTCTTCATCTTACACTTGAGGTTTTATTCTCCTTCTTCATCTTACACTTGAGGTTTTATTCTCCGTCTTCATCTTACACTTGAGGTTTTATTCTCCGTCTTCATCTTACTCTTGAGGTTTTAATTCTCCGCTTTCATCTTACTTGAGGTTTTATTCTCCTTCTTCATCTTACACTTGAGGTTTTATTCTCCTTCTTCATCTTACACTTGAGGTTTTATTCTCCGTCTTCATCTTACACTTGAGGTTTTATTCTCCGTTCTTCATCTTTCACTGAGGTTTTTATTCTCCTTCATCCATCTTACACTGAGGTTTTATTCTACATCGTATTCCATCTTACACTTGAGGTTTTATTCTCCGTCTTCATCTTACACTTGAGGTTTTATTCTCCTTCTTCATCTTACACTTGAGGTTTTATTCTCCTTCTTCATCTTACACTTGAGGTTTTATTCTCCTTCTTCATCTTACACTTGAGGTTTTATTCTCCTTCTTCATCTTACACTTGAGGTTTTATTCTCCTTCTTCATCTTACACTTGAGGTTTTATTCTCCTTCTTCATCTTACACTTGAGTTTATCTCCTCTTTCATCTTACACTTGAGGTTTTATTCTCCTTCACTTACACTTGAGGTTTTATTTCTCCGTCTTCCATCTAACACTTGAGTTTTATCTCCTTCTTCATCCAACAAGACACTTGAGGTTTTATTCTCCCTTCCTCATCTTACAACTTGAGGTTTTATCTCCTCTTCAATCCTTACCACTTGAGTTTTGTTTTCTCCTTCATTCATCTACACTTGAGGTTTTATTCTCCGTCTTCATCTTACACTTGAGGTTTTATTCTCCTTCATCTTACACTTGAGGTTTTATTCTCCGTCTTCATCTTACACTTGAGGTTTTATTCTCCTTCTTCATCTTACACTTGAGGTTTTATTCTCCTTCTTCATCTTACACTTGAGGTTTTTATTCTCCTTCTTCATTCTTACACTTGAGGTTTTATTCCTCCCGTCTTCATCTAACACTTGAGGTTTTCTTATCTAACCTTCTTCATCTTACACTTGAGGTTTTATTCTCCTTCTTCATCTTACACTTGAGGTTTTATTCTCCTTCTTCATCTTACACTTGAGGTTTTATTCTCCGTCTTCATCTTACACTTGAGGTTTTATTCTCCTTCATCTTACACTTGAGGTTTTATTCCCGTCTTCTCTACACTTGAGGTTTTTTTTATTCTCCGTCTTCATCTTACACTTGAGGTTTACTTCTCCTTCTTCATCTTACACTTGAGGTTTTATTCTCCTTCTTCATCTTACACTTGAGGTTTTATTCTCCGTCTTCATCTTACACTTGAGGTTTTATTCTCCTTCATCTTACACTTTGAGTGTTTTATCTCCGTCTTCATCTTAACACTTAGGTTTTATTCTCCGTCTTCATCTTACACTTGAGGTTTTATTCTCCGTCTTCATCTTACACTTGAGGTTTTATTCTCCGTCTTCATCTTACACTTGAGGTTTTATTCTCCTTCTTCATCTTACACTTGAGGTTTTATTCTCCGTCTTCATCTTACACTTGAGGTTTTATTCTCCTTCTTCATCTTACACTTGAGGTTTTATTCTCCTTCTTCATCTTACACTTGAGGTTTTATTCTCCTTCTTCATCTTACACTTGAGGTTTTATTCTCCGTCTTCATCTTACACTTGAGGTTTTATTCTCCTTCTTCATCTTACACTTGAGGTTTTATTCTCCGTCTTCATCTTACACTTGAGGTTTCACTCAGATCCAATACTATTTTTTTCATTCCCTGTGCAGCTTTTGACCTTTTCAGATCTTGTTTATTAGACAACCACTGAATGGCTTAGTTCGTAAGCTTTTTCTCGGCTCAAGACATGTTCAACGATGTAGACCATTTTGATGTTCAACATGTTCAACGATGTTCTGATTGAGGTTTGACTTTGCTTATGCCCATATCAAGGTGCCTGGGTCAGTTTTGTCTTCTTTTCATCTCTTAGCTAAGGTTACATATTCTTTGGTCTTTCTGTTTATTTAAAAACTAATTTCTTCGCTAGCATGACTGTACTAGATTCTAGATCAAGTCTCTTCAAAGCTTTCATGGACGACTCATGAAATCATGATGACACGATTATAAAACACTCATTGAGTGTGACATTCATCTGTAAAAACATGCAGTTGTGGTCACAAACACACGTTGTTGGTGCCAGCACTGTGAATACTTGTGTGGTGCTGTGTATAAAAATGTCATTTAATTAAGTTACCGATCATATCACTCCTCATCTTTACAG